ATACATACACAGGGCTGGCTAACCTGAAGGCAATGTGCCAGCCGCTGCTATCCAGCTCCGTCAACGAAGCCGAGAGTTTTGCTGCTGTACACGTCATAGCGCACGAGCTGGGTCATAGGTCAGTATAACCCATTATCCATGTTTCATCAGTATAACAAGTATAACCCATTCTCCATGTTAGACGTTGATTTCAGACAAACATTACCCGAGTGACATGATGTAGCGATGAGTGGTCATGACCTATAACCTGTACCTAACCCTACGGAGACTTATCGCTCATCAGAGAAAAAAAAATTAATCTATCCTCTCAACGCGTGTCCGACACGACAGCCATATATGCTGGTGCTTGCATGCGCTTTGCGGGTTAAAGCCTATGCGAACTAATGCATATAGTTGAAAAATAACACAGCTACACATTACTAGGTTTAACATACGTATTTTTTGGGGGTTCGCATAGGCTTTAATGCCGTGTAATTTTATTTAGAAAGTGAATTTCTATGTAAGTACTAGACTTCTCAGTAATCTTCGTGCACTCTCTATTATTATACTGTCTGTGAAGTTTTGGCATGATTCACGATGGCGACGGCAACCTGTGTGATCCCGTAAGATGGATCATGTCCACTGTGCTAGGCGCCGGACAGACGCGATGGTCAGAATGCAGCCGGACTACTCTAAACAACAACATACGGTAACGCCGCCTGCAAATAAGGCATCCGATTAATCTTAACATGCCAATTTTATTTTAAAATCACTTCAATTATATTTTTAATATTATTATTATTATTATTTCAATGTTAATTTTAATTTTATCATGGCTATTATCAGAATAATTCCCGTATTGATGACTATTGAGAACCCGTTGTTGGTTCCTATTGTGACTATTATTTTAAGAATAGTTACTGATTATTTAAGAAGTTATTATATTTTCAGTATCAAATTACCTGGAATAGAAAAATCGGATTGAACAGCAGGAACTATTTGATGCACAATAACAAATAGATAACACAATTTTGTTCAATAAAACCTATAGACATTTAAGATGCTTCGTGGACAAACGTCCGGTGCGTCCAACGCACTTTCACGCGTTCGTCCAATGCATTTAACAGAACTGTTCGATAAAACACAGAGAGTTTAGGTGCTTGCTGGACAAAAGTGCCGTGATTCCACGCGTGCTTGACCACATAAAAGGCGGAAATTTACCCGGACAGCGATTCACAGCCGACGAACAGTGCGCCATTATAATAGGCCGCGGAGCTACGCATGCGCACAGAAACGATGCTTCTTCTGGATTCCCCTTTGAGGTAATAGTCAAAAGAAAGCAAAGTAGAACTTCTTTATCTTTCTCTCTCTCTCTCTCTCGCTCTCTCTCTCTCTCTCTCTTCAACACACTCTCTCTCCTCTCGTCTCTGCTCTGCTCTCGATATAGTTAGTATTATATATGATATATTATATGTGCCCACCGCACTGTACATCATTAGCAGTTCAGGATCCATGATTTAACCCTCCTCTGAGTTCAAAGTTCTATCAACACTACTCGTCCACCCAAGGAAGCACATTTCATGCTCCTTTCAATAAAGTGATAAAAATGGTAGGTCAGCGCTGAAACCAAAAAGTTTTTCACTGTGTCCGTTAGACCATGTCCTCAGAAAATGTCTGATATCTGACCTTTCCTCCACTGCCCTTTGACCTGTGACCTCCAATTTCGCACTGGTGATGGGTTTCCTGCCCATGACACTATACACCGAATATTAAGAGCATAGGTCGAGCCGTTAAGATTTGTGCCGCAATTCCGTATTTCCTCCTATACCTTAAGTTAAGGGAAAAATATTCCCCCCTCCGTTTACACATCTTGACCTTTGACCCTTGGCCCCCAAATTTGTCCCCCCCACGTCCCGAATATCGTGACCGTACGTCGAGCGGTTAAGATTTGTGCCCAACTGTTGACGCACGCACGCACGCACGGACGGACGGACGGACGATCATGCGATTCTACAAGCTGCAGGACGGACGGACGGACGATCATGCGATTCTACAAGCCGCATCTGGCTACGTCAGATGAGCTAAAAAGAGAGAGAGAGAGAGAGCGCGCGCGAGCGAGGGAGCGAGAGAAGAAGAGGAAGAGAGAGAGAGAGATAGAGAGAGAGAGAGATAGAGAGAGAGAGAGAGAGAGAGAGAGAGAGAGAGAGAGAGAGAGAGAGAGAGAGAGCGCAACACCTATAAATCAATGTATCCTAGGTATATTTCGTTCTAGCTAATGTGCACGACTTTATGGTGTCGTGTTCCTGGAACAACCCAGCAGCGATCCAGCCATCCCGCTCTAGAAGGAACCTACTGTGGTAACGATCGGGTGCGTCTTTCATTTCCTTGCTCACTACGTTTTTGAATTCAGTTCAATTTTGTGTTATTTAGGGTGTTTATTTGGAGATTTCGCGACTTAATCCCAAAGTTACAGCCTAGTTAAATGTTCTTAAATATACGGGATAGCGCGAAATAACGCCCTTAACTGCCCTCTATACTGGTTGTTCTGCCGTAGTTTTCTCAATGCAGACGTTTGAATTCACTCCGAAGTCTTTAACCTACGGCTACGTAGTAAACTTTCGCTGGTCACTCGCTCTTCTACATTCCGTCTTCTTCGTCATTTCTCATCGGAAACAATCTGAGATGTTAATCTTAGATTCGTGCTAATATTGCAGTGGTGCAGGCAAGGGGAGTGCTTGGCCTGGGGAGCTAACGGGCCAGCTGTTATAGACGGTGGATTCGGGAACTACCAGGCTGGTCCCTGCAGCGCCGGATGTCTGGAGAACGGGATAGGCGTAGTGACGTACCATCGCGCCTGTGACGGCCCTGAGTGAGAGCCGGATATGACGTCATTTTACTAAGGAACACTCGCCGCGTTTTTACGTAGTTCGGCGATTCTCGAGCCATAATATCTCATATGTTACCTCAGACAATAATATCCGTTTATGGAAATTATATTATACCATATTATAATAAATGATATTATGGAATTTTAGTGTGCGAAACGTAAATTTTTCAGGCCACGCAATGGAGGAAAAGAATGTACGGGAGTCAACCGATTGGTTTCCACGTGCGATCACAAGGAGGTATATCTGCATTTACATGTATTGTCATTTGGTCATGATCTATCAACGAACTAAAATGAGGTTATGGTTAAGCTGTAAACTGAATGCAAGGCTACCAAGCTCAGCCGACCCCACACAACGTCCTGAAGGGCTTCTATATGCGTAGATGGTTTTAGCTCTGTCTACAGACAAACAAGGGAAAGCCGGTGCCAGTACAGGCATACACGGACAGTGTCTGCAAGCTGCTAGCACTGAAGGATCCAGACGTAACCCGCGAATCAAGACAGTTCTTCTTCAACAAAGGTAAAGCCACGATGTTTCCCATGCTATGTGGGCATATATATTATATATATATATATATATATATATAGTATATATATACTATAGAGAGAGAGAGAGAGAGAGAGATGAGAGAGAGAGAGGAGAGAGAGGAGAGAGAGAGAGAGAGAGAGAGAGAAGGAGAGAGAAGAGAGAGAGAGCAAGAGAGAGGAGAAGAGAGAGAGAGAGAGCAGAGAGAGAGAGGGAGAGAGAGGAGAGAGAGGAGAGAGAGGAGAGAGAGAGAGAGAGAGAGAGAGAGGAGAGAGAGAGAG